CCCCAAAACCCCAAAACCCCGATTTCAAATATTGACATTGAATATTCAATATCAAATATTGAAAATTAATGGAGAACTCTAATATATGTGCTTAAAAGATGTATTAACCATGAGAATTTGAGAAAATATGAATTTTATCCCAGAAATTATCCCATGAAAAACTGAAGTACTCTTTTCAATAGTTTAAATCTGCTTGCCTTATGAAGAATTGCAAGCAGGTAAGACCTATTGGTGCTCAATTACAACATAAAAATGCAGTCACAAAACAACACGACTGTGTGCTCATGGCTGGTGATAATTGTAATGCAAATAAATTAATCAATTATAATTTTAAAAATGAAAAAAACTTAAAATCAGATGCAGCAGAGCAGCAGCCAACCCACTCACAAGTAAATTACTTTAAATAATTTTTATATTAGTTCATCCCAAGTGACAGGGAATAAGATATAGATAGCCCCCAAATTGAATTCTGCAAGCCAATAGTAGATGAATGGATAAATATAGCCTTCACCCACAGGAACTAGCTCTGGGAGACGATCATAAAAACAAATTTAGTAACACCAAGATCAATTGAATAATCCTGAAACTAGAGCACAAAATGGATAGCCGACATCAGTTCCATCAGTTTAATAAACTTAACAAATCATTTAGCCTCAACAGCAAATACCCCCTAACCAAGCACCTCAAACTCAACAATAAATGATCCCTCAAATTAATCAATAATAGCCGCCACCTGGAGTATTGCCTCCTCAGTAATAATATGCTGGAACTCAACAATAAATTCCAGGACAGATACCCCCACAGATGCAAAATCGACCTCCTGGAGTAGCCTCAAACATTCCAATGCAATAGTAAATGATACCTGGTTAGATAAGACCTTAGCAATAAGGCTACCCTCCTCAATAATTCCCTCCTGGTTAGTAGAATAATCCAAATTATATGGTTCCTCCGAACTAATTTGCTGGCCAAATTCCCCCTCAAAATGTGGCATCAAATTAGTAAATGTATCCATAGTAATAGTATCAAAGAAATAATATGATGCCTTAATAGATTCCTAATCAGCAATATCCAAATGGTTAACCCCCTTAAGTTGTTCCTAATTACGGTTAACCAGCTAATCATGTTCAAGCCACTTAAATGTCCTACCTGAGTCAGCAAAATAACTAGTACTTGGGGCCAAATAGCATGATCATCTAATAATAACAGCAGCAGCAATAGATGATATAGAAGTTCGACTAAACAGTGTAGAACTATGTTCAGAATATGTACTTGGAGAAGGCTGAACTGGGAGGCATATAAGTAGAAATGCAAAAAACCAACTACAATTATCTGTCTAAAAACTATGAGAATTTTTTGAAGATCGCTCCTCCCTAGGACAAGATGAACTTTTTATCTGAAACTCTGCTAAAGAGAAAGAGTTTGGTTAATAAATCTTCGAAGAGATATAAAGCAATATCAAAGAAGAAAGAGCCGAATTCGGGTCCTGGCAATAGGAACTCTAATAAAGCTACACTTAAATGTCCAGTTTATGCTTGCTTCAGAGAGATGCATGATGATTAATAATTAATGTAGCATTACAACGAGGCTCATTCGAACCTTAAGGCTATGGGTTTAGATCTAATCCTTGATGCCCAATCTAGTTAGTTAGGTGGAGGTCTGAAAACCAATGTGAAGGGCAAGATTCACAATAATCTTTTAACATAGACGTTGATAATATCGATTCTGCATAAAACTTAGGTCAAAGAACTTCTTCAAGAATTGAATGATGAACTGCCTGCGTTAGATTGATTGATGATTCTAGTGAATGTCTCTTAGTTGTACCGCTGATCTATAGATACTCGCGAAGATTGATTATTAATAACTTGTCTTGTTTATTTTGTTTTTAATATGCTTTACGTTTCAAACTTATTTTGCATATCGGGGTTTTGGGGTTTTGGGGTTTTGGGG